TTACTGGCAGTGGTCCTGTGGGTAGAGCCTCGTTCTCTGCCCTTCTCCTGAGCAGAGGGGGGAGGGCGGGCGGGCAGGAAAGGACCCCCGCAGGGGCTCTGATCAGCAGTCTCATTCCTGAGTGTGGCTGGTGGAGGTGTTTGGGTGGGGGGGGCGGGCAGGGAGAAGCCTACAGGGTTGGGGACCTTTTTCCCAGATCACCTGGTGCGCCCTGAGGGGTAAACCCAGTCAGAGCTAACCCTAAACTGAGAACAAAGGTAAAGCGGGACTGGAGGGCTGGTCTTGCGGGGAGGAGCCGGAGGGGGAGGAGCCGGAGGACCGGAGAGAAGAGCAGAAGGGAAGCCCGTGACCTGGGAGGGCTCAGGCGGCAGCAGGAGCCTGCGCCGCTGGGGGCAGGTGGGGCTGGGTACAAAGTGGTGCCCCGATGCCCACACCTGTTTGTGATGGGAACTACGCTCCGTTCTGCAGGTGTTCTGGGCCCTCTGTGGGCCTCTCCAGGCCTCTGGAGCTCAGGAGCGTTGTGACGTGGCTGTCTCATGCTCCTGTGGACTTGACTTGTGGCTTTCCTTGTGCTTGACCACAGTTGGGCCTCACGTGGCCCTCAATTTTTATGTGCCATGGCCTTTGTTTCTGGCTCTTAGCTTGGTGGCTCAGCACTTACAGCCTCCTAGGTTTGGAGTCCCATGTGCCTGCCCTCCTCGTTTGCTTTGTTGTGTGTAGACCACCCTGTGCTCTCCCAGACTGTGAAGACTTAAGATCTTCCCTCCTGGATCTTTGGCCCCAGGAAAATGCCCTGCTCATTCCAGCACTGATGCCCGCATCCCTCCTGGCACCTGATGAGATGAGCTGCTAGAGCGGGGCTGGGGCCAGGGGCTGTGCGGACTCCTGGAGCAGCCTGCTTAGGCCGTGCATGTGTGTGCGTTTCTTGCAGGGGAAACAGAAGTACACCCTTCCGCTGTACCATGCAATGATGGGTGGCAGCGAGGTGGCCCAGAGCCTTGCCAAGGAGACCTTCACGGCCACCGCCCCCCAGCTCCACAGCAATGTTGTCAACTATGTCCAGCAGATCGTGGCACCCAAGGGCAGCTAGAGGCTCACGGGCATGGCCTCTGCCTCTTCAGAATACCGTTCCCGAATTCCGGTTCTCCGGTCAAATTCCTGAAGTTTACACACCCTTGGAAAAATCTGTTCACTGGCTTGGTGGCTGTGACTCCTGGGCCTTTGCTCTGGTGGGGACTTCTCTGGCCTGGGAAGTCCTGAGACCAGAGAACCTTCCACAGCTCTCAGTGCCAGCTGTGGTGCCGGCTGCCGGCTGTGGTGATGGGGCTTCTCCCCGCTCCCCACTCTCTGGGAAGATCAGAGAGGGTTTTCTGGTCCTTTCTCTTCCCTCCTCTTCCCTCTCCTTTTCTTTCCTTTTCTTTTCTGATTCTTGAAGTACTATGCAAAGGATTGCATTCTGGAAATTCTTTTTTTCCCCAGGTTTAATCTTTATTTTAATAAATCTTTTTAAGTGAAAAGTATTTAAGTCGGAGTTACAAGCCGAATGACTGAACTATCTGCTTCTGTACATGCCCTCTTTGGGCAAATGTTCTGAGAAGGTCACAGCGGGCGCCCCAAGGGGCTGACAGCGTTTCCCTGTCCGTAGGGAACCCCTAGGCTCAGGAGGTAGGGCTCCCACACTCCCAGAGATGGAAAAATACAGGGCAGTATGGCGGTAGCACGCCTGTAGCAAATGAACTTCATCCCAGCTCCCTGTGAAGGCAGCTAAATTCCCCACCTGTGGCCATTCCTGTTCCTCTGTTCCACTGCTTAGAAAATGTGTCACTTAGTGATTTTTCTCTGGCCTTCTCGCCATCCCTGGGGCTTCACTAGGCCTCCCCTGCTTCTGATCCTGCGTAAGTATTTTAACAGTGTAATAAATAGAGTCTGCTCAGAACTTTGGCACTAAGTTCTGCTTTCCTGGTTTCAACACGGGGATCTAAGCAGTTAGCAGCTTGGGTTGGGGGTGTGGGGTGAGAAGAGAGTTGTGAAGAAATATTTAAATATATTGAAGCTGCCTTTCAGGCACAGGAATACAAAGCACTCCCAACCGAGTCTCCAGTTGTGGCCATGTCCTTGGCTTTGAGGTTTTCCATTCAGGCCTCCCTTCCCTGCATATGGTTTGGGAAAGAAAACACAGCGTCACCACTTAAATAGATTTGTTCTTGCTCTTAGCCAGAGTCAGGGAATGGTGGTGACCAGGTGGCAGGCAGGTGAGGCCTCTGTCCCCCAGAGCTTCACCAGCAGAGAGAGAACTTTGGGTCTGAGGAGAGGAACCTGGAGGCCCAGGACTATCAGAGCTTCTCTAGGCCATGACACTTTTTGATGGCAAACTGTCTCCACAGTTCTTTCCGGACTGTTCTGGCGATACTCCCTGGGCAAGGGTGATTTTAGCGCTATCGAGATGCCCCGCCTACTCCCCAGCTTGGGGTCTGACCTATCCGCTCTGAGACCAGTGGCTGTCTTCCCTTGTTTGCACAAGAACGAATGGCATGAAAGTTCTAGTAATAGTAATGGCGAAGGGTCACCGTGGAAGCAGGAGGCTAGAAGGTCTTCCTCCGACAGCCGCTCTTGGAGCACACTAACTTTGTGAGCCCTCACCCTGGGCAGCACGGGGATCCTGAGCTGCGTCACCCGCCCTGCTCACCACCTTTGCCACCCAGCGGTCCTACTGGATGTGCCTGTCCCTTTATAGGGCTGGGAGGCAATGCTCTGGCCGTCCCATTCCCGAAAGATGAGGCTGTGCCATTGTCCCTGCAAGCTCGTGGGGAGGGCCGAGGGGGTCTTCTTGCCATTGGCAGGAAAGGCCTCTGCCTCCTACTCCACAGCTCCTCTGACCTCTATCCTAGAACCTTCTCCCCACTCCACCTCTGCCCTCAAACTGAAGTCTTTCCCACCTACCATTCATAACATCACCTGTGATTGGGCTACTGAAGGCATTAATACTTGGAGATAAGGTGCTAGCCTACAGAGATTCCTTATCTCAGCCCCATTTCTTTTGTGAAGCCCTGTGAAGGCAAAGGAGCTGATATCCTTTCTCATTCTTTCTACATCCTTCTCATCCCACCCTCTGGAGCCTTAGCCAGGTGTCCTCCAGGGCAGGGGAGCATGTGAGCAGTCCTGGGGCTAGAAGCCGGTTCTCCCACATTCCAGGGTGAGTGACTCGGTGGAGGGTGTGCCTGCCTCAGGCTCCTTGGGGGCGGTCCCCTGAAGGGCTGGGGGGAAAATCCCACCACCAGAGCCCCAGGCTTTCCTGCCACCCTTAGCCTACAGGAGGGGCCCCTGGGCCCTAAGCCCCTCTCCTAGGCGCCCAGCAGTTTCGGGGACAAAGAGAAGATTCCTGGAGATGGACTTCTTAGTTCTCTGGCTGTAGAGTTAAGGGGGGGGGGGAGCAGCTCTAGAGGTGGAGCCACCATTTGTTTGAGTAACCATGTCACCCACCAAGGCCGAGGCCTAGCTTGGTCACGAAACATCCAGGGCTGTGGCATTAACAAAGGAAGTAGAGGAAGAGATACTCCTATCCTACATGTTAGATGCGTAAAAAACCAGATCTGGAAGAGATCTTAGGGATTCTTAAGTCCAAAAGACCTTGTCTTTACACATGGGGAAACCAGCAGACTCACAAGGCTGAGGTCACCTGAACACAAGCCTCCTGCCTCCTCCCTATTCCTCACTGCCCGTGCTCGGGGTCTCTGGTGGGGGTTTGCACAGACACGAAGGACTCGCTGCGCTCATAGGGAGGGCCAGGGTCTGGCCAAGCAGCTGAGCGGGAGGACCCTGCAGCCGGGATACACACGGTGTCTGGAATGAGCACCTGCTGGTAGGTGGCTGACTCAGCCCCACCACTTACCCAGCTCCGTGTGGCCCAGGCAGCTCACGAAAGCCCGCGGAGCTATGATGTTCTCATCTATCAAATGGGAGCAATCAGACATACATTCCTCACAGTGCATTTGTGAGGATTGAGTGGAGACTATGTTACAAGTGCCTGGCAAATGGTAATTACTGAGCGTCCCCTTTCCTTCATGGAATGCCGTGACCCAGGGAGTCAGGCTTCTGACCACTAGAGGGTAGCAGATGGGAGCTAGTCAACTGGACTGAGGGTGTGGAGCCCAGATGGGAGATCTGACGGAGGGATAAACACGACCATGCGGATTCCAGCACCTGCAGCAGCCCCGAGCCTCCTCCGAGGGCTCCGGCAGGGGCTTAGGGGCAGCCAGGCCTGTCCAGAAGTGGCTGCAGCAACCCCTGGGTCGGCAAAGCAAGCCAAGATGTTACCATCCAAGTAGATGCCAGTGGGGTGGGCCCTGTGGGGACTTTGGGGCCACTGGGGCCCTGAGGCTAGGCTGGCAGGCACAGACGGCCCCCACCCAGTATGAGCCTATGACTATTGCCTAGGTATGGAGAGGCTTCCAGCCCAAATCCCATGTGTTGTAGGAAAACTTCCTAAACCATATTATCTGCTCTCCCTGCTGGGCCCCCTTGTCCTCAGGTCTCCACCCATTTGGGGGACCAGCAGCCTTCCCACCCAGTTCTACCAGGTTCCCTTCCCCCTTCTCCGCACAGCCCATTCCTGGCCTGGCCCCCCTGAGGAATTTACTGCTGGAGGATGGCCGAAAGTACAGATGCCCACCACAGCGCCGCTCCTGCCACCCGCCCAAGTCAGTGCCCTGTGCCCAACCCCAGAGGGTGCGGGATGACAGACTCTGACAATCATTAAACCAGCTGGGCCTGATTTCCCAGCACCGCCTGCTAGGATCCGGGCCAAGTGGCACAAAATATGCAAATCACCTGGGGCCAGAAGCCCAGTCTAAAGGCCAGGAAATCCCCTCTGTCCAATGAGCCACCAGCTCAGGTTACCGCCAGGCGCTCTATAAAGACCGGGGGCTTGGGGAGGAGCTTCCACACGCCTCTATTTAGAGCGGGTGGGGGAGCGCGGGCCAGACACCTCGGAGCTACCTGGAGCAGCTTTTATCCTCCGGATTTCTCGCCAGCCCCTGTCCCTTAATCCCGCCTGCGTGCCTGCCACACCCACACCCCGCCACTCAGGTAGGACCCACACCTGTCATCCTCCCCCTGCCTGGGTCCTGGGAAACTCAGGGGTCAAGTGGATGGGTAGGTCTAAACCTACCCACTGCAGCTCCGCATTGTAGAGCCCCTGAGCAGGGCGTAGGGCAGTGGGGGTGTCCTGAAGGTCACAGAGGCACCACCTCTGGGAGGGACTGAGTGGCCCTGACTCTTCCAGTCCCACTCAAGGACCCGGGTGGGCTGAGGGGGCTGCCCAGCGGGAGGCCTGGTGTACTCTGAGATCTTGGAGCCCTTCTTGAAGAGATGGGGTCCAAAGAGATATTGACCTTCACGCCCCCCACCCCCCTGTTGGGGCTCCTTCTGCCCCAGGCTTGGCTAGAACAGGAGAGCTAGAGGGGAAGAGGACCCTGGCCCTCACCAGCCTCCACCTCTCTCCCCAGGTAGCCTCATGGCTGCAACCTGTGAGATTAGCAACGTCTTTAGCAACTACTTCAGTACTATGTACAGCTCGGAGGAACCCGCTCTGGCTTCTGTCCCCACTGCCGCCACCTTCGGGGCTGATGACCTGGTTCTGACCCTGAGCAACCCCCAGATGCCACTGGAGGGCACAGGTGGGTCTCAGAAGGTGGGATGGGGAGAGAGAGACATCCCTCTAAGAGCCTGTTAGATAAATGGAGACCTCAGGCAAGGAGGAGGGTTCCCCCCCCCCAGCAAATTCCAGCACTAGGAGCATGGGGTGGCTTGTAAGAGGCTGAGGTATTGGGGGTGAGGGGCAGTGCCCGGCTAAGTGAGGTGCCGGGAGAGGGTGCTGCGAACCCTGGCTCCCACCCCTTCTGCTGAGAGGCTCCTGCGAGAGGTGGGGGGGATTCACACAGAAGCCTAGATGGGCACTAGAAATGGGCTGTGAGGGGCTGGGTGGCTCGAGCTGACCTGACGCTGTGCCCGGCCCCTTGTAGAGAAGGCCAGCTGGTCGGGGAAGCAGCCCCAGTTCTGGTCAAAGGCCCAGGTTCTGGACTGGATCAGCTACCAAGTGGAGAAGAACAAATACGACGCCAGTTCCATTGACTTCTCGCGGTGTGACATGGACGGGGCGACGCTCTGCAACTGTGCCCCGGAGGAGCTGCGTCTGGTCTTTGGGCCTCTGGGGGACCAACTCTATTCCCAGCTGTGGGACCTCAGTGAGTCCAGGCCACCTCCTGCCCTTGTCTCCCTCTCAGTTGGGAGGCTGCTCTAGGGACTGGCCCGCACCCCTAGGCTGAGCTTAGCATAGCTGTGGGAAGGGCCTGGAGCCCCGGGCCAGTGGGCACAGAGAAAGAACCCCTGAGGGGAGAGGGGACCATGCGGTGCCAGCCTGGGCTCTGACCCCTCCTCCCTTCCTTATCAGCTTCCAGCTTTCCTGACGAACTCAGCTGGATCATTGAGCTGCTGGAGAAGGACAGCATGGCCTTCCAGGAGACCCTGGGCCCCTTCGGTGAGAAGCCATTTTCTCACTTCTCCCCCTAGCTTGTCCCATCCCGTCTCTGGCTCGCCCCAGAGTGCTAGAGCTGACCCTCTGTCACCAGACCTCTGTCCCCCCTAGCTAGAAAAACAGCAGGTCATTAGACCTCTGGGGGCTTAGTGTCCCTGCCTGTTCCTCCGAGCTCTGTCTGAATCCTGATCTCTTCTCAGACCAGGGAAGCCCCTTCAGCCAAGAGGTGCTTGAGGAGGGCCGGCAGGCCAGCCCCTACTTCCCCGGCAGCTATGGCACAGGGGCCCCCTCCCCCGGCAGCTCCGATGCCTCCACTGCAGGTAAGCACCCTCGTTTGGGCCACAGCCTCCCTTTCCCCCAAGTGCGCCTGAGCCTTTGGTTCCTGGCACTAGAGCTCAGGCTTTCCGGGGGAAACAGGAGCTGGCTGGGTGGCATTGCCCTGAGCCTCTCCGTAGCCCATCCCCCAGAAGGTGTGGGCTGGCAAGGGGACTCACTCTGACCCCGCCTTCCCTAGGGACTGGTACTTCCCAGAGCCCCCACTCCTCAGACTCCGGTGGAAGTGACGTGGACCTGGATCCAACTGACAGCAAACTCTTCTCCAGGGGTGAGTGGAGGGGGCCTCCTGGTCCCCATGGTGTGTCCCAACGGGCAGTGCCCATGGGGCTGGTCCTTGGCCTCATCCCTGCTCTTCTGTAGGGCTTCCTCCAAGAGACCCCCCCAATCCTTCCCCTCCTAACCGTCCACCTCCCTTCTCTTAGACGGCTTTCCTGACTATAAGAAGGGGGATCCTAAGCACGGGAAGCGGAAAAGGGGTCGGCCCCGAAAGCTGAGCAAAGAGTCTCGGGAATGTCTGGAGGGCAAGAAGAGCAAGCACGGTGAGCTTCTGGGGTTGCCCCCATTGTGCTGAGGCTGGGGCTGGGGGTGGGGCTGGGCACTGCTGGAGCTTTTTTCTCCTGTGTTTGCTGGCCGGACAGGCTGCTCCTCCCTCCCGCCATCGTGGCTGTGCACGGGGCCAGGGCTGTGTGGTACTGGTCACCACCTAACTGCAGAGTCTGGGCTGGTGGCCCTGGAGAGGAGGGGAAACAGGCTCCTGGAGGAAGGCCCATAGGACTAAAGCCCAGGTCACCTGCCCACCCACTCCAGTTCTCTTTGCACTTGCTCCGTCCTGCCTGCTGGGACACCCTTGGTGGTGTGAGGAGGGTCCTGGCAGGGCCCAAAGGGCCACGGCGGGGGCGGAGGGGGGGTGGCGAAGGGGCTCAAGCAGAGGACTGTGCACCAGCCAGCCACTGGGAACCACTGGGAACCACTGGGAACCACTGGGTGATGGCCCTGAGCTCCTTCTCGCCTCTGCTTTCGTGCATGCAGTCTCCCTCCCCCCCCACACTAGGCCTGGCTGGCTTCTTGTTGTCAAGGGGCTGTTTTTCCCAGGAAGCTGCCCCCTCGTCCCCCAGGCTGGGCCCAGCTCCCCGGTTCTGTCCTCGCCTAGTTCTCACCACCTGTTGGTGTGTTTGCTTTTTAACGGCAGCCTCCCTTCCCCCACCCCTCCCCACTGAACTGTGGGCTCCTCAAGGGCAGTGGTGTGTCTCAGCCACTCTCCTACCCCAGCCAGATATAGGATCAATATTTGAGCAAGTAAAACATCTGTGCTGTGAGAGATGTGGTCCCCGTCTAGTGCGGGGAGGGGACCGGCCCTTACATCACGCGGGCATCCATAGGCCGTGTGCCGGGACAGGCAGGGCCCACTGGCCTTGGAGGAGAGGGGTCACCCTGGACTGCTGACTGATGCATCTGGCCTTGTAGCCCCCAGAGGCACCCACCTGTGGGAGTTTATCCGGGACATCCTCATCCACCCGGAGCTCAATGAAGGCCTCATGAAATGGGAGAACCGGCAAGAGGGTGTCTTCAAGTTCCTGCGATCAGAGGCCGTGGCCCAGCTTTGGGGCCAGAAGAAAAAGAACAACAGCATGACTTACGAGAAGCTGAGCAGAGCTATGAGGTGAGCAGATGGCTGGGGTCCTCGTGACCTGGCCAGACCCTGGGGGGGGAGCCTGCTGAGGCTGCCCGGGACAGCTAGTCAGTGCTCCCACAGCCCTCTCCCTGACCACCGCCACACTCTGGCAGGTTTGTGTCCCTCAGAGTGAGGATAATAGCAGTGTCTGCTGCTTCACGGCCTAAAGGACGGCGTGGAGAGAGTAGGCTGGTGCAGCAAACACCACAAACTTTCTGGGGCAACGTTTCATTGCGCTTTCTGCAAGGGTGTCCTGAGGAAAGCTCTCCGTGGTGAAAAGGGCATGAGCCGAGGCCCACCGCGAGACGTGGCTCCCCACTTTTGAGTCAATGAGGTTGCTTGTCTAGACCTCAGTTTACCCCTGAATTATCGCTAAGGTTCCTTCCAGCCCTAAAATCTTGTGGCTTCATGATCAGCCCCAGGACAAAGCCATAAGATCTAAAGGAGCAAGGGTAAAAACCAGGTGCTCTGGACACAATTCTAGGCCAGAGTGCCACTTCGTCATTGCAGGAGGGAAGAAAAGAAAAGCTAGTAGGAAGTGGATCAGGATCCTGTTGCTCAGGCTGGGACCCAGGGCTACAGGTCACCTAACGATAGCTGGGCTAGGTGGAGGGCATCCGTGGTCCGAGGCTGCTCCCTAGCCGGGTACCTCTGACCACCCTTCGTCCCACCCAGGTACTACTACAAACGGGAAATCCTGGAGCGGGTGGACGGCCGGCGGCTGGTCTACAAGTTCGGCAAAAACTCTAGTGGCTGGAAGGAGGAAGAGGTTGCTGGGAGTCGGAACTGAGGGTCCGAACTAGACCCAGGACCAAACGCACGGACTTGAGGCCTGCGGCCCCTCTGGGGATGGGCATGCTCCGGCTCCGGCTGTGCTGTGGTGGACAAGCTGAGGCTCTGGTGTCCTGTCAGCCATCGTCCTGGATCTGGGGCTCACGGCCTCTCCTCTCTGCCCTCTTCGTGGAATTACGAGCCCTGGGACTTGAGGTGACCGCTCTTGCTGACTTGTCTGCAAGCGTAGCTTCTTCTACCTGGTGCGTCCTCAGATCCAACCCAGACACCAGCCATGGACAGCACCTTCCTCCTCCAGATGCCTGGACTGAGCCGAGGAGGACAAGGGAAGCACCAGGGGTGCTGTGAGAGAGGGGACGGGATGGGGTCCTCCTGAAACTGGTTTCTGGACTGCCTTCCACCTCCGTGCTTGGACTCCGCAGGCAGGGGTCAGAGCACTCCCTAATTTATAAATACGTCAGATGTACATAGAGATCTATTTTTTCTAAGACATTCCCCTCCCCGCTCCTCTTCCACCATGAGCTGGTGGCCAGACTTGACTGTTCTAGGCCCTTGGCCAGGCCAGAGAGGGGAAGGGAGATGCCGGGACCCTCAGGATGGGGCTTCTGGCTCCTTTTTCCTGTGAATGGAGGTGAAGACCTCCAATAAAGTGTCTTCTGGGCTTTTTCTAACCTTTGTCTTAGCTACCTGTGTGCTGAAATTTGGGCCTCTAGATTGGATAAGGTCATGGGGTTGGAGGAGGAGCCAGGGCCGGAGGTGTATGAGGCTAGAGGTAAAGGCAGAGGCCGACTTACAAAGTAGGGATGGATTTCCTAGATCATGAGGGTTGGGTTTACAGACCAGCCTGGGGGCTGGGAGGAAAGCAAAGGAAACAGGTGAGGCTGTTGAGGGCCGAGAATCTTTGCAGGCTTCCTGCAAGCAAGGGCATGAGCCTCAGCCTGCTCAACACTGGGCCAGTCATGCTGCAAGGACACCTTCCCCCAATGACCTTGGCCATGTCAGCCCCCTGGGCCCTCTTTTTTGCTGTAAGGCTGGGGTTTGGACCTGGTGCTCTCTAAGAAGTCTAGAATTGCATATCCAGCCTCGTGGGATAGAGGCTTCAGCATTCTGGCCAAGTTGGCCATAAACTGGGAAAACAAAATGGAGATGAATACTTGATGAGGAAGAATGGGGGAAGGAATAGACATTCGCCAGTCTAGTGTATGCCAGGCACTGTGCCAGGCAGCCCTTTATGCCACCTAATCTTGCCCCTCCAAATGAGATTGATCATTCCCATTTTACAGGTTCAGAAAGTGAGGTTCAATAGGGCCAGTGCCTCGGCCAAGGTCACTAGGACAGTACCTTGGTGCTTATAGTAGCCTTTCCCTGGGAGCGTCGCCAGGATTCGGGCTCTGCTCACATTATCCTCCATAGATTCCAGAACCGTGTTAACACTGTCTCCACAGTGATAGTGTAGCTGGGTTTTAGAGAGGACATTTTACTGACAGGTATATGTATGGTTCCTTAGGAAGATTGTCTTCTAGTGGAAATTTCCTTAAGTTTGAGGCTTCAAATTCCAGAGAGCACATCAAAAGGGCATTCTGTAAATTTGAAATGCTGTTTAGTTGTCTTAGAAATAGCAGATTATTAGCTAATGGATGTGGGTAAGGAGTTTAAAAAACCAGACGTGTGTGTGTGTAAGTGGGGCTTGCTCTGGAGAAACAAAAAATAGTAGAAAGCAGAGAAGTTGGTTGGAGAAAGTAGTGGGGTCATTACAGAAGCTAGAATCTTCTGGAGCAATTTTGGAAAAAAATTTCTTTTTGCTGTACCAGCAAGTTAAGTTAGTGGAAGAGAGAGTAAGGGGAAGGATTAGCCTCATAATGACCCGGGTTCCATGCCGGCCAGACCACTTCTCACCGGGGAGCCTTCGGCAACGTAGCCTAATAATGATCTCATTTCTTGGAAAGGAATATGTGTTAGACACTGTGCTAATTTCTCCACCCATGTTCTCTTGGGGGTCCTTACACCCTAAAAAGAGGGTACTCTGGTTGCCTAAAGCCACCTCGCCCAGAGTGGAAGATAAGCCTTAGGAATCTAGAGCACACCGCCCTGATCCTCAGTTTCTTCAGCTCTAAAAAGGAAACACTGGTGGTGGGTGGCTCTGAATTGAGGCGGGGAGCTGGAACTATGGGGGGCCGTCGGCTTGGGGGAGGGGAGCTGGAATGGAGCTGGGACTATGAGGCCAAGCCCCTTCATCCTCTGCCAGAGGGCTGGGAGGTGGCTATGGGCCCAGCACTACACTCTGACCTTTGTCCTGCCATTTTGGTTTATGAGGTGCTTTCCTCATCCCATTATCTCATTTGATCCGCACCACAGCCCTTTGAGGAGACTGGGCGTCCCCATGTCCCTGATGAGGCTAGGGGCTGGGCCAAGGTCACCCCCACCGGGCGGCGGACCAGAGGGCCCCCACTTCCAGGCAGTACTCCGGACGGCAGGACCTCCATGCTGCAGCTCTGTGAGGGGAACCAGGAGGGCACCTGGGCAGGGGTTGGGGGGCAGGGGAGGGCTCCTCTGCTCCACACAAGAGACATGTTTCTTTTTTTTTTTTTAATGTTTATTTATTTGTTCTTGACGGGGGGAGTGGTTGAGAGAGAGGGAGACCCAGAATCTGAAGCAGGTTCCAGGCTCTGAGCTGTCAGCACAGAGCCTGACATGGGATTCGAACCCATGAACTTGCCAGATCATGACCAGAGTGGAAGTCTGATGCTTAACTGACCAAGCCACCCTGGCGCCCCAAGGGACATGTTTCTTATTCAAGATGTCTTTTGCCCCCAAATTGCTCTCCACCCTCTCTCCCCTCAGGACACCACAGAGCCCAGGCATAGACCCCAAGGCTGGCCTTTCTCGCTCCTCCTCCTTGGTGTTCTCTCTGTCAGGAGTCAGCCACCCTTCCCCCTCCCCCCCAACCCTCACCAGCTCTGGAGCCCCTGGAGCCACTGAGCAGACCACCCCCTCCCCCAGAGATGGGCCCTGGCTCTGCCCAGGGGTTTGGGTCTCCTTGGGCGGGGCCGGGCTGTTTAGGTCCTGCCCTGGGCTGCTGGTCACCTCTTATCGGCTTCTGTGGGATCGGGTGTGCTGCTGGGCAGGTCGCAGGGAGGTCACCCCTCCCGTGTTTGGGTGTGTCTGCTGGGGGCAGGGGTGGAGGTGCTGGGCCTTGGCCCTGAGCCTCCCCGGGAGAGTTCCCAGATTCTCCCCACCGCCTACCCCTCCCCCAGTTCAGGGGAAGTCTAACTGCCTGCCCTCTTGGGCGAAGCCAGTAAAGTGGTTGTATTGTCGTTAAGGGTTTATTTCAGTCTGCTCTTTTTTTCCAGTTACCTGTTGACGAGTGTCTCCCCTACTAGGCTGTGGGGGCCTCTGGCCAGAGACCGGGGCTTACTCATCTCAGCACCGTGCACAGCGCCTGGCACACAGAAGGTGCTCAATAAATATTTGTTAAACTGCCCGGTGACTCTCCCTGCCTCTCCCTGCCCTGGCCACCACCTCCCCCTATGCACACACTGTCACATACTTACACACACACACACACCACACACAGTCACACCCACACATACACACTTGCACATGCTGGCGTGCGCTGAACACTCACACCCCACACACGTTCTCACACATACCACGACCTCACACAGCCATGCCGCTCCCATACCCCCCAGACGTGCATGCACATGTCACAGTCACACGTACACTCCTGCTGTCACAGCCACACACACACATGTCACCGTCACACCCACACCCACACTGGTCCCTCAACGCCCCAGGCTCGCCCTGTGGAGCCTCCTGTGTTTACACTGCTCATCTCTTCCCTCACAACTGAACCCCTTTGGGGAGTATTTCCTGCCCTCCTTTCTGTCCCCCCTTCCACCAGGGGGGCTCAGATCTTCCCTCCAGTCAGGACCGGTTGCAAAACTCAAAGGGCCCAGTGCAAAATGAAAACTTGGACCCTTGTTAAAAATGATTACCAAGGGGCGCCTGGGTGGCTTAGTCGGTTAAGCGTCCGACTTTCGCTTAGGTCATGATCTCACGGTTCGTGGGTTCGAGCCTCGCATCGGGCTCTGTGCTGACTGCCAGCTCAGAGCCTGGAGCCTGTTTCAGTCTGTGACTCCCTCTCTCTCTGACCCTCCCCTGCTCACACTGTCTCTCTCTCTCTCTCTCTCCTAGAAATAAATAAAACATTAAAAAAAAAAATGATTACCAATTCCCAAAGGCCTTCAGAGCAAGGCCCTCTGAACCCTGCACAGGTCACGTGCCCGTGCCCCTGTGTCCCACCAGCCTTCGGCGCGCCACTGAACTACCATCCATGCGGCAACCAGAAAAATACAAACAAGTTGCCAAGTTTTTACAATCAGGAAACACTTCACAGAATAACGTGGATTTCTCGCTTCTCTTAAGAAATCAGAGGATCTGGCGGAGCTAAGGCAGAAGCAAGTCCTTCCGTCCCCTATATGTGCTCAGGTTCACCTCTATTGCCACCACAAAATACCCATGTGGGCCCAGAGGTGAGAAGTTTGCAACCTTCGGTTGAAAATATCTAGGGAGCCTGGGGAGTTCAGTGGGTTAAGCATCTGACTTTGGCTCAGGTCATGATCTCACGGTTCATGAGTTCAAGCCCTGCTTCGGGTAGGCTTGAGCCTCACTTCGGAAAAGCCCTGCTTCTCTCTCTCTCTCTGTCCCTAGCTCACTCGAGCGCTTGCTCTCTCTCTCTCAAAAGAAAAACAAAAAAGAAAATACCTGTGCCTGGCCCCCACCTACTGCTCCCAGACTAGGAGCTCCTTCTGTACCCCCTCTACCTGGCAAGATGATGGCTTGTTGCCAAGGATGTCAGTAAGTAAATGGATGATGGCAGTGGGTGTGGGCGGGGGGAGTAGTCATACTCACAAGTATGGAAAGCCAGCCAGCTCCTACTGTGACAGCCCGGGGCAAGGACAAGAGCCCCCTGATACTCGCTAGGAAGTATCACATTTTCTCACTTCCAAGAGCATTTTTGGTCCAGTTCAGTGCATGGCATATAATGGGCACTCATGCCCACTGGAATCTCAGTGCCTGACCCTCTGGGCTGGCCATGGCTGCTTAACCCAGAATGCCCCAAAATGCCAGGACTTCCCAGCAGTCTTGACCCATCCAGGTATCCTCCCTGCCAAGAGAGAAGGAGAGCTGGCCTTATTCATCTATGCAGTAGCTCTTCATATAGTGTTTCTTCCCTTAGCCCACCTCTTTTCAGGAAGAACAGGGCCCAGCATCAGCCCCCACATCATAACCATGTACCAGTGATTTGTAGAATAGAGCATAAGATCCAGACGGACAAGCCCCATTTTACAGATGAGGAAACTGAGGCTAAAAGAAGGAAGGTGACTTGCTCAAAGTCACATAGCACGCTGGTGCAGAACCTGAGATCGATGTGGACAGCGGACCCCTTATTAGTTACCTACTAGGCGCCAAGCAGTGTGTCACATCTGTGCTTAGCGTACCACATTCGTTCACTCCCTCAGTGAGTGCTCACTGAGTGTCTGCTGTGTGCCTGGCTCTATGCTGAGAGACCCCGCTGGGAAGAGGTCCCCCAAGGATTGTAGAGCCTGGTCTGCAGCCTCAGAAATTCCCAACTCATGCACATAAGCCTCCCAACAAGTCTGCAAGGTAG